TGTCTCACTCACAGCCGGTAAGCTCATAACTTTTTTTTTATGTTTCAAAAGATTTTATAGTTTTATCATCATAAATGTATCATGCTAGTTTTATTTTGAAACATTTACATTATAAGATAACCCTGTTAGATGTTGGTACGTATTTCCTCAGATTTTCCTGCTGAAATGACCTCGAGCAGCATTTTTTCTGGTCTCTGGATGATCGCTTTGGCTACCGTTGGATGGATCTTTGGACTTCTTTTCTCGATCAAAAACCTATGTAAGTTTTTTCTAATTTCCCACATTAAACATAAACTTACTTGACTTTTTAACCCAAAAAGGAAAACTCTTTTTTAAAATGTCAAATCCTTTTTTCATCATAGTTAAAAAACAAGAGCGCCAAGCGATAAAAGAACTTGAAGCTCGAATACAAATGGTGGTCAGTAACGTGAACAGAGCATGGGGAGGTCAAGTCAGGAGAAAACTTGAAGACGTGGAGGAGAAAAAGGAGAAAAACAAGAGGGAAGTGGAGTCGGTGGAGAGAGAGATCACACAGAGAAAAACACTCGACATACCAGAGGAGTTATTGAGACAGAAAGAAGAACTGCTGAAGGCTCAGTGGAGACTGGACGACAAACAGAGACAATATGAAAAACAGCTGATTGATATTGAGAAGATAATGGAACCTGTGATGTCCCACGTGTCCTTAAACACAAACAGAGACCAGGCTGATTAGAAGCAGAAAAACTAAAACCTGACTTCAAACTGAAATCAGAATTTAACCTGTTTAAAAGCTGCTTTTCAGTCACCCTCAGATTGTTTTAATACTTTAATTCCCTGCTCTACATCCCTCTGCTCTCTGCGTTTGTCCTGCATCATCTGGTTTATTACTTGTTCTTTTGTTTGAGTTCATTAAGGTTGATTTCATATGACAGACATCATATTGTTCAGAGCTTTAAACTGGTAAAAATACTGAAATGATCTTTATTACTGTCATCACGTGGTTTTAGGAAGGTGGAGGACCGATGTAGATGTGTGTCGATGTTCTTGTGTTGTTCAGGAAAAATTAATGTTGTTGTTTTGGTTTTCCCAACAGTGAGATTCTTTGGTACCAAAGACGTCCACTTGATTCATTTGAACCCCTTTGGTTTAAGTGCTTTTATTTTTTCTTAAATGCTATAAATTGTACTTCAACTCAAAACAAGGAAATGAAGTTGTTTTGAACTGCCGCTGCATGTCATGCGTAAAAAAAGCTGCTGGAAAAGACTGGAGCTATTTCAGAAGCTTCACTACGCAGCCTTACATCTTTGTGACTGATTTGTCAATTTGAATGATTGTGTGTGTGTATATATATATATATATATATATATATATATATATATATATATATATATAGCTGGGAGAGGCAGACCCTGCTAACAGCTGCCTACCGCTGACACAGCAAACGCTTCCTGCAGAACAAAGTTTATATTGTTCAGACTCCTTGAGAGTCCTCCTAGACGCAACGGCTCAATCCATCTGTCATGACCTGGGGCATCTCTGGACTGGAGAGTCGGTGCTATGGGCATTCTACAGCCCTCGGTGCCTAGAGGTCATCTAACCTCCCTGACTTTCGGATCCACGAAGAGGGTCTCCAAGAAAGGGTGAAGTAGACACACAGATAGCGTCTGATGCCTTTTTGATAATAATCAGCCGCATAGCTTAACGCAGACCAAATTCCTTCCCGTTTACACCCAGAACTCAGCTTTTCTATATATGAAAGTTATGATAACATCACATTCACACGTAGGCACCATACATCACATTCCATCCACCGAGATTCATCCACCACAGTAAATTTAGTTAACTTGTCATGTTTTAATTGTTTGGAAAATAAATTCCTACTTTTACAAACCTGACTCTTTCTTGAATCAAGACAACGTTTTCTACAACCCCTGAATAAACAAAGAATCCTAGAATCTTCTGATTAAACACACAAAGACCAAGCAGGTTGATATTCTATATTTATATAGAGTATCACAGCTTAATGGTCATAAGTAAAGGTAATATATTAAGCTCTTAAAGCACTACATTTACCAACTCCTACATGGTCAATATATAGGTCAAAATTGGCCCTTTCTGGATGTTACACCAGGTTCTTTTGCTCTCCGTTGGTCTTCTCAAGACGTTTAGCAGGACCTGATGGACTATCAGGGAGCTGTTAAGGAGGCAAAGTCATCTCATTTATCTCAGCTGATTTCTCAAAATAGGAACAAGCTACATGTTGTTTTTAACATTTAAGTAGTCTGCTGGCTCCTCATGTCAGCACTTTAGGGGAGTCTCCTGGGATCTATGTGAAAAGTGCATCTATCTCTTTTCTCACAGACAAAATTTTAAATATAAGACACTCTGATTCTGCATGCACTGACATCCTGCCCACTATAGTATGAGAGGGACAGCTTTGTGCCAGAGCGTCGTTTTCCGACTGTCGTGATAAAACGGAGATTTCACCAAATTGTGACCTTTACCCTAGTGCTACTTAACCTTCCCCTCACCCCTGTAATTTCCACAAATGGTCAGTTTTCACCTACAGATTGACCTATAGGCCATCGGCCATCTACAGACCTAATTCCATCCTATGAGGTGGATTTCATATTCTATCTGCCAACAAGCCACAAGATCCTGCACTGCTTGTTAAAGAGCAAGTCACCCCCAAATCACATTTTTTTTGCTGATAAACTAAATAAATGAGTGTCTAATCGTGCTACAGACACGTGTCGTCAATAATTTGGCAGTTCAGTGCATCTTGGTTAAAATTTAAATATTCTGCCTAAAACTGTCAGTGTTGTGCCGTCGTCAGGGAAAGATTCTGCACTGTATTTGAATTTAAATCTGCCACTGCTATTGGCTAAGAGGTATGCTATGATGTCATCTGGTATATGATGATGTCATAATGCCATTGTGAGCCTGTGTGTGTGTGTATTTGTTAGCGGCTCCGCCCTCTCGGTCTGCCAAGCAACAGCATTTGTTGCATTTTTCAAACATGAAGTGGGAGGGAAGTAAGTTTATTGTAGGGGGTAACTTGCTCTTTAACATCCTGGAATCATAACAATAATATTCTCTCCTCAAGGTCCCTCACAGAGCACCCTTTCATCTAAGACTCCTTGCTTCACAGAAGGAAGCAGATTTAAAAATTAAAAATTAACTTCTAAAACTTATAAGTTAGATTATCAACAAAATAAATGTTTGTATATTGTTGCTTATAATAATTATAAAATAATGAAATGTTTCAATAATCTGTTCTCAATGATTGATTGCATGTTTACTTGACAAGGTCATACTGCACTCACACAAGAACAACTAAAGGTAAAGTTAACCCCATGACACATAAATAGCCTTTATCAGCCTTTTGTCAACTTCAGGGTTTATTTCAAGATCCTGGTTCTGGTCTATAGGGCCTTACATGGACAAGCACCATCTTACATTGGTGATCTTCTTAGTCCCTACACCTCCAGCAGGTCCCTGAGGTCCAGTGATCAAAGCCTACTGGTTGTGCAGCACCAGGCTAAAGACCAAAGGTGACCGATCATTTGCTGCTGTGGCCCCCAGACTCTGGAACTCTCTCCCCCTGAGCCTGAGATCAGTGGACTCAGTGGTCTCCTTCAAAAAGCAGCTGAAGACTCACTTGTTCAAGCTGGCTTTTGTATGACCTTCTTCACCTCTCTCTCTTTATTCTTCTCTCCCCACCTATTCCACCTTCCTCAGGATCCACTGATTTCCCTCTTTCCTGTTCACTCTCTCTCTTTCTTAACATTTTTAATTTTTTTATTTTTTTTATTATATTTTAATCAAAATTGTCCATTTTTTGCTCATTTTAAATATATTTTTAACCATTTTCTAAATTCTTTTTTATATTTTTACGTTTTTTTTTTTTGTGTGAAGCGCCTCGTGATTTTTATCTTGAGAGGCGCTATAGAAATGATATTTTCTCCTTCCTTACCCCAGATCAGAGCCTCCCGTATCAAAGAAGGCGTGTGTTTCTGAGATTCGTGGTAATAATCCTCAAACTTGTCAACCTCTGGTTGGCTACACAATCATAACATGAGAACATTAAAACCAGATTACTCGGGTTTTCCCTCAGTTCTAGAGAAGCTTCAGACGGCCACCTGAAGCACACCTCTTTAACCACTAAAGCTTTCGACACGTCGTCAAAACCTTTTTACACCTGCGAAGCTGATAAAGCAAACAGTTCCTACAGAACAAGCTGATTTGTTCAACTCCTTAGAGTTATTCCTGAGACGCAAACTAGTTGCAACTGTCGTTGTCGGTGGAGATGACTCTGGACTGACCTGGTCATACTCCAGTTAATCTACGGACTTGGGTACCTGGGCCTCGTTTAAACTACGTGTGAACACTCGTTTGTGTTCTTTGGCATTTTAGAAATAATGAAGTGGCTGCAGGTTTCTCTCACATCTTCTATTTTTTACATTTTTGCCTGTGACTTTTCATTGTTTTCTTATGACTTTAACAGTGTTTCCATTTAAATGTGCTATGAATAAAGGTTGACTTTATTTACAGGAGTGGCTAGAGCAGATCGCAGGAAGAACATCAGACATCTCAGTCCATAAAAGTGCCGTTCTAGAAACAGCTGAGATACTCTGCCGAGCCGTCAAGCTCCCAGGCCGCTGGTACAGGACCCGTGCTTGGAAGGATCAGACCACCTGTGGAGAGTCTGAGCGTACTTTAGGACTCAGAAATCGTAGGCTTTCTAATTACCCACAATTCATGGCGTTTGATGCCAGAAAATAATTCCTGAGACATTTTATTCACCCTGAAGAACAACTGGAGAAGATATGTGCTGAGTCATTTCCTCCTCAGCATCAAAAATGCCTCCATGACCTTCAGCATCAGTGAACTGAACCTCGTCAGTCTGTCCCGGTGCACTCTGGGATTTGTATTTCCTGTGGCATCACAGCCACAGCTGCCTTGGGGCGCACTGACATAGGTGAGGCTGCAACCCGCAGGCACCGCTGATCCCTCTGACCAGCGGTTACCCTGGGTGGGGCGTCGTGCCCAAGGACACAACTACAGCAGACCCACAAGCCTCTGGTCATGGGGTGGACACTTAACTCCTCTTCCGTCGTCATCCCAAGGTGGAAGAGATTTATTTGCAGCTTGTGAAGCAGAATCCTTTTTACATGATGCCTCTGAGTCCCAGTGTGACCCAGAGACATTTCCTGTTGCGTTTATGCAGTTTTTCTTCTGTCAGCATTAAATAACTTGTTTGACCGGTAATCAAACGATTTAACGGCATAAAGTGAAGCAGTTTGGTTTATTGTGGGACTTTGACCCTGAAGCACTCCCGTGTGATTTGAAGTCAAGGCTTATTCACTCACGGCCGGTAAGCTCCTACCTTTCGTTTTACGCTTTTACACATTTACATTTGTTATGCTAGTTTTTTAAAATCTGACTTTTTGGACGATGTTTACATCATGAGAGACCCTGGTTAGATGTTGGTCCGTATGTACCTTCAGATATTCCTGCTGAAATGACTTTGACCGACTTTATTTCTGATCCCTGGATGATCGCTGTGGCCTGTGTTGGACTGATCATTGGACTTCTTCTCTGTACCAAGTGTAAGTTTGATCTGATTTCCCACGTTAAACAGAACTGACCTGAAACCAAAAGTTAGAAACGCTTTTTTAAAAATCAAATCCTTTTTTCATCACAGCTAACAAGAAAGAGCGCCAACCACTGCGAAAACGTGACGATCGTTCACAAACCTACGAATCGGTGCTCAAGACCATGAAAGGAGAATGGGACGGTCAGCTCAGGAGAAAACTTGCAGACGTGGAGGAGAGAAAGGAGAAAAACAAGAGGGAAGTGGAGTCGGTGGAGAGAGAGATCACACAGAGGAAAACACTCGACATACCGGAGGAGTTATTAAGACAGAAAGAAGACCTGCTGAAGGCTCAATGGAGACTGGACGACAAACAGAGACAATATGAAAAACAGCTGATTGATATTGAGAAGATGATGGAACCTGTGATGCCTTACATGACCTTAAACACAACCAGAGAGGTTGTTTAGGAGCAGAAAAACTACAGAAATCAGAATTCAACCTGCTTAAACGCTGGTTTTCAGCCGTACTCAGATTGTTTTAATACTTTAATTCCCTCCTTTAGATCCATTTTAGTCCTGCTCCATTTGTTTAGTTTTTCTTCTTTTGTTTAGTTTGTTTTGAGTTAATTACTGTTGATTTTGTTTGACAGATTTCATGTTGCTCAGAGCTCTAAACTGGTGAAAATTCAGAATTTATCTTTATTGCTGTCATCGTTTTAAGAAGATGGAGAACCGGAGTAGACGTGGGTCAGTGTTCCTGTGTTATTTGGGAAAATGACTGATGTAGGTTTTATTTCTTGTTGTTTTGTTTTTCCCATCAGTGTGATGTAAAAAATAACATAAATCATGTAACATGACCATGTGACTTTGTAACATCTACAACATTACAGTGCTTCATTTTGAGTTTTTATTATAATTAATCTGGATCTGGTGATGCTGAAAACTGACATCTTATCTTCTGGAATAAAAACACTTTAATAGGAAAAAGCAGGTGAAGGTTCTCAGTCATCCAGATCAGGATAATCCAAAGGGGTTTGAACCCGTTTCAGAAAGACTGAATTACAGACGTGATTAAGAGAATAGCCGTTGTAGAACACACCTTATTTTATTAGCTCGGGTTCTGTTGAGAACTTTGACCCACCCAGAGCCGGATTAAATAAATGGACTACACTAGGCAGGCTGCATTTTATGGCCCCCCCTCCATCGATGTTATTTAATGAATTGAAATCTGAAACTTACCAAAGTTACTTATAAAAGTTCATTCACATTTTACGTAGCCTAGTCTTTGGTTACAAATTGGTTGTTTGTATGTAAAACATTCTATCAGACAATTTTTTGATATTAATTATACATCATTACACAGCTGTGTTAAATGCTAATAAATTATCCTCATCTTATCCATTGGGAGTGTCAATGTCAAGGCGGTACCAGTAAATAACCACCGCATCTTCGGGCTGTGTCTGGCCTCTGGCTCTGCTGACTCGAGCAGGTTCACAGCTGTCGGACGGCTGCCCGAGCAGCCCGACAGAAACTTCTGTAAAGCCCCCGCCGTCTCTTCTTTTGTTCCTCTTCGTCTTTTTTTCTTTTTACGTTTTGCCGCACCCGAAAGCATCGTGAAAGTTAGCCTACTCAAAAACACCTGCTAGCTTTGTTGTGTCCCGGTCTGACTCTGACCGCTTCTCTGACGTCCTTATTTGGGTGGCGCCCAAGTTGTAGAATATAGTCATGGGCTGGCGTTAATGTGACGTAGCTAATGTAACGGTCTATGGTTAAGATAAACAGTATCACTATTTTTAGTTAATTAATAAATATTGAAATAAACTGTAGATAGGAGTCCTATCCACAAATTACATCATAGGAGATTTGTACATTTAATTTTAAATTAATTAATTTTTAATTTTGTCCCTCTGTCTGGGCCCCATCCAGCCAATTAGGCCCTAGGCACGTGCCTACTTTGCCTTTGTGTTAATCCGGCTCTGGACCCACCAGCTCGTTGGGTCTACAGGTGTGGAGCAGGTACATGCAGAAAGCTTTAGAAATGACCAATTTTTCAGGATTAGCTTTGTTTCTTAAGGTCTTCTGTACATTTCAGATTAAATACAATTTGGCAGACATTTTACTTTGAAATGTGTAATATTTTTAAACAACAAATGTTGAAAACAACATGACTACATGAAACATCCCCTTTTCTGAATGCTGAAGACCTCGTCTGATGAATTATATATAACTGTGTTCCCTCGCCCGGACATGGGTCACCGGGGATCCCCTCTGGAGCCAGGCCTGGAGGCGGGGCACGTTGGCGAGCGCCTGGTGGCCGGGCTTTCACCCATGGAGCACGACTGGGCACAGCTCAAAGAGGAAACGTGGGTCCCCCTTCCCATGGGCTCACCACTCGTGGAAGGGGCCAAATTCAATTCAAATTCAAATTCAAAAATACTTTATTAATCCCAGAGGGGTCGGGTGCAGTGTGTGATGGTGGTAGTCGAAGGCGGGGACCTTGGCGGTCTGATCCTTGGCTACAGAAGCTGGCTCTTGGCACATGGAATGGCACCTCTCTGATGGGGAAGGAGCCTTAGTTGGTGTGTGAGGTTGAGAGATTCCGACTAGATATAGTCTGACTCACCTCGATCCATGGCTCTGGCTCTGGAACCAGTTTCTTTGAGAGAGGTTGGACTTTCCACCACTCTGGAGTTGCTCCCACTGAGAGGCGCCGAACAGGGGTGGGCATACTAGTTGCCCCCATCGACATATAAATATTGGACAATGGGCTTCCATAGCCTCCAATAACACATTTTTGTGCTAAAATGGGAGGTAGCCACCACCGCCATTTTGACCGTGTCACAGGTTCCGACAAGCCCAGACAATTCCACAAAAGGGAAGAGAGGTGGAGCTGAGGGTGGGGCTGTACGGCTGGGATCAACTGACAACACTCGGTCGAACTAGCTACAAGCTAACCTGAAGCTAACCCAAAGCTAATGCAGAGGTGGGAGCTAAGCTAACGGAGGTAGCAACCTAGCTACTTTATACATTATTTGCGCTGTTTTGAGCTTCACCAAGTCATGAAATTTAATAGCTTGGATTTCGACAATGAGTGCATTGTATGGTCCCTGTACCACACATTATGGCTTTTTCTGTATTGTAGTTATCGTCTGTTTGTTACTTTTGTATGTGTTTCCCCAGACCTCTACACATTAACTCATACATGGCAGTAGTAAAGCACAGTATAATATGTGCAGGGCTTTCTGATCCAACATCTTCTTTGCTTTCCCCAGGATGGCAACAACCGTGGCAATTTCCCCCGAACATAAGTAATGTGTGGCTTCCAACAGAGCTTATGGTCAATGATTTAATTTCATTTACTCTTTCTAAATATAGATTATCCACACAAATGGCTATTTTGGTGTTTTTCTGTTGGTTACCAAATAAAACCAGATTTATGTTATCTAGATTCAATGATAATTTATTTATATCAAACCACTTTTTTAATATCGTTAATTCCTGTGTGATCAACTCCAAGACCTGTGTCAATTCCACACCTGAACACAGTATATGTGTGTCATCTGCAAATGTTACAAACTTTAATAGTTTTGGTACTCTGCAGATATCATTTAAGTACATAGTAAACAATTTTGGTCCCAGTACTGAACCTTGAGGTACTCCACAAGCTATATCCATCAAATCAGATTTGTATTCATTTATTTGTACACATTGTTTCCTATTCCCTACATAGCTTTTTAACCAGTCCCCAACGATTCCCCTAAACCCGTACCTTTCCATTTCTTTTAATAGAATTTCATTATTCACAGTATCGAACGCCTTTTTCAGGTCTAAACAAACTCCGAGTGTATACCTCTTATTATCCATACAGTCCGTTATCTCTTCCATTATTCATGCATTTTCATTTTCAGATTTGACATTTCAAAAATAATTTGCTGGAGTGTTATTTGAAAATTAAATTTTAATTGTTTTTTTTCTTCATCCTTTTGATTAAGTCACAGAATAGGCAATGATGAAGAAGAAACTTAAAAAGCAGTTCGGAAGATTGCTTATTCATTTTATTTATGAGTCAGATTTGGCCGTGGTAATATGAAAATGAAATATAATTTCTGCTACTGCATAATAATATGATTTTTGTTACACAAACGCTTCCATATTAACCCTTTGATGCATGAATTATGAAATCTTCAACCATGATTTTTTTAACATTTTTTTTCATTCGTCTTTAGGTGTGAATGAAACAAATTTCAACAAATATTTTTTGTAAAAAATTATAATTTACAAATAATTTTTTACATGTCCACCTCAGTGGACAGCGTGCATTCTGAGCATGAAATATCTTGGCTTGGCTTACTGAAGTCCAAATGGAGAGGCTCAAATGCAATAAAGTCTTCAACAGCTGTGCTTAATAGCAAAAGTAAATAAATAACAATTTTGAGTACCTGTCCACTGTAGTGACCATTTTGCATCAAAGGGTTAAGCAGGTGTTTTAACTGTTAAGTTGTCTTTTAACCGTTAACTTTTTTGAGAATTTTTTGTTTTGCATTATTTTAATAAAGCTCTTCATCTGTTTGCACTTGTTTTAAAACCTTTTATGGCAATTAAACCCATTTTAAATCCACTGTCATGTTTTTTATATTACCCCCTCCTTCACATTTTAACAACACATGTCGGGGTTGTAACATGAACAAACAAATGTTTATTGGTTTATGAGCTGTGACCGTTAGTAAGGTGGAGCAAAGAGGCTGTGGTTCTGGGAAGTGTGGTGTTGACCCCAATGAGGAAGTTAAACCCAGTGTGACTCCCAGCTTTGATCATAAAATTTTTTTCTCAAGGAAATTAAGAAAGTCGGTGATGAAATGTTTTACACTTTTTTCCTGCCTTGTTGCTGCTCAAGACCTTCTGGAGTTACGAGACTTATTTAAGGAGTTTTTTGTTCTTAGTTTTTTGTAAAAATGAGAAAAAAACATGACTATGTGATTTAATCATTAACATTTATATCTTTAGTGTTGGGTATTTTTATAATTGTACCTTTTTGAGGCCTAAAAGATGCCCATTTTGTGTTATTAACACATCACAAATCTGTTTTTGCCAACTGTTGCTGTTCATGAAAGGTTGAGCAAGGATGTTGATTGTGGGTTTCCAACTGAAAACTGTACCTCTGTAACCTGAGAAGGCCCTTCTCCCCCATCCTTTTGCTGAATAAAGCCCCTGGGAAACTGAGGAGACTTGGGAGTGACGGGGGAAAAGCCTCGGAGGAGGTTTTTCCCTGCGTTAACTCTCCATTATTTTGGGGACTCAGGGTAAAATGTCTCCCTTATTGTCATGTGTGTTATTTCAGGTTCCAGGGTTATGGAGATTAAATATTACCCCACATGTAATTACTTAACATTTTGGTGGAGATGCCGGGGATGCAGAGCTGGTGAGCTGAAGGCTTCCCCCAGGAACAGAGGGGGGCTGGTTAGCTCCATGGAGGGGTTTCTGTGCCCAGCTCTCGCATGACGATTCATGGACATTACAAATAATCTCTCTTTCTCTGTCGTCCTTTAAGGTAATATGGGATTAATCTAAAATTACCTATCAATTAGTGTTTCATATGATTTGATTCTTCTGTGTTTCACTTATAACTTTTATCAAATGTTTTTCTTCTAATAGTTTTAGAGACACCTGATTTTGATCATGTTTAACTAAACGTGTTAGGGTTGAGTTTCCTCACCTAGGACATATAGAACCGATCACAAGAAGCCAAGAGAAGTAAGACAACAATATTTTATTAAATGTGTAGTCACATGATCTCAGGCTCCTGATGGGGTCTGGAGGCAGCGACCAAACAGTGACTGAGAGCTGATTGAAGACAGGTTCAGGAGCCGAGAGCTTACAGTTCAGGAGGAGATGAATGGGCTTGTAGGAGGGAAGGTCAGGTCTGGCGCGGTGGCCAAGTTGGATGTAGTTCCAGAGGGGGAATGGTCACAGGAGGAGGGATCCGGTTTCAGGTGAGCATCGGAGATCATGTCGGACTGAAACAGCTGGGGGAGACGTGGACTTGGCGGGAGAGTTGGTAGTGGCGTGTGGAAGCAGGACAAGTTTAACTACAACAAGAGACTAGAGATTCAGCTCGAGAGGTTTTCTACCCACGATGAGTAACTATCCTACTCCCTGCTCCACTGGGAGCCAGACTGGTTGATGGAGAGATCAGCACCACCCACTTGCAATTAAGCACTCAGGTTGCCAGGAGGCCACTCACCACCCAGACCATGACAGACCAACCAGTGTGTCCTGCTTGTTGATATCAGAAACTGCTGATCCAGCTGCTGTTTTGTAGACCAGTTCCTTTCTAAACAGTTAAGTAAAGAACTAGTGTTTGTGGTCGTCTACATTGCTGTTGCACCTTTGAATTAAATGTATTTGTTTGTATTTTGTATCCGTCTTTTGCTGTAAAAACTGCATTTAATTTTATGGAAACACTGTTTCCCTGCAGGAGTGTGTGTGTGTGTGTGTGTGTGTGTGTGTGTGTGTGTGTGTGTGTGTGTGTGTGTGTGTTCATTTTCATCTTTCTAGTCTGTTTAGATACACAAAAATGATAACATTTATCAATTGTGGTGTTTTATTTTGAAAAATTTCTTGGTTTTGTTAAATTTACCAGCCTTCCTCTTCTGTTTTGGTTTGACCTCCTGCCCGAATTGACGTGGCTCACTCACGGCCCACAGAAAAATTAGAGCTCATGCCGAAAAGATGGCTGTACGCTGCGAGCCTTCGTGGCGCTTCGCAGCTGATGTCACCGAGAGCGTCAACAAGGGTGCCGAATAGAAGCACTCGCAGGGGCGGATTGGGACAAAATTTCAGCCCTGGAATATTTCCATGGGTCCAGCAGTCAGAGTGCACGCCGGGGGAGGGTGGGGTGCATACATGAATAACGAGTAGTGGGAGCAGTGCTTGAAAAAGAACATAAGTGCTGTAACTCCCCCTGGAAAAAGCATCTTTAATCCGCTCTAGTGTGAAATTACAACACCTAGACCTTTCACACCTGGACTGGATCATTCGACCAATAGCAGATTCCTCTGCTTGTGATTTGTGAACGTTTAGTAAAAAGAAATGTTAGCATATTTTGGCATCTGGACCACATTAAGACTTGCCTAGCTCAAAAACTAAGCCTGGACTGGATTATTGCATAGACTCATTTCAGATTTCTTTAAACTAAGTTTCTGGTTCGTGAAAGTTTGATAAACCTGATTTCTGTGGGGGGTTATTTGTGCCCCCCTCATTGCAAAATGACTATCAATAAAGCCATTTCGGTTTAAAACTTTTGTCGGCTTGATGAAGTTAACAGCCTGTTTCAACAGTGGAAGAAGCCTGGGTGGGAGGGGAGGATGGCATTGCTGCAGCCTGTTCGATCATGTGATGGTGATATCCGATGGGAGGGGTGGAGGAGAGAGTTCGACACCGGCCACAGCACATGGTCGCGCTTCTGCGACTGGTGTGTTCCGGTCGTATGGTGACTGATTGCTGCCTTTGTGTCTGGGACACACATGCAGGTGGAGATGCAACTCTTCATGTCCTGGAAGAGGGAGGCCACCAGAAGGACCTGCGTCTAGCAGCCACGGTTCTACTGACACCTGGATAGACTGAGAACTTAGATGTGCATCATTTGAATAGAGTTCACAGTAAAACGTAGTTAAAGATCAGCAAAAAGAAGAAATCTTTGTAGTTTCTTATGAGTTGAAGGGATTGGCGGCTTGAGGACTGCTTTCACAACGCCATGCTGCACATTCAGCAGCATTTGTTCCGTCTTGCTTGGTAGTATTATTGTCTTATAAACGGCTATTGTGCCTTGGTGTAACGGAGAGAAGCGTCATGATGACGTGGGGAGTTGCTGCCGAGCCCTGGCAGGCAACTGCATTAAAAATGAAAGTTAACACAAGCTGCAAGTTTTGCTTTTTGAACTAAATCAGCTAAGATGGTAAACTGGAGCGCTGCAGAGCTCCGTGAGCTTCTCTCGGTTAGAGCTGGAGCTCAGATCGTCAGAGACTGCACGGGGACTGTGGAGTACAGACACCCTTAGGAGCGGCTTTGATCTAAAAAACACAACTTATGTCCAAGATAAACGCAAGTCCACGGCAGCGCAGGGACCGCCCCCCTACCCCTTTATGCCGCCATCACTTCATCTTTTAGAAATAAGGACAGGAGTGCACCACATCACCACCACCGTCTGTGTGCACTAGGACAGGTGGGGGAAGGGCGGTCCGTTACCTTATCAAGGTAAATCCTGTTCCTCTTCAGCCTCACTCTGACTTAATCAGTCACCAAACTGTAATAAAACCAAAGGTTGTCCACAAGTCCTGACCTGCAGCTCCAGATGTTTTGACTCTAAAAGGTAAGTTTGCACTGATTTGGTGACATGTAGAAGGGTGAGTGGGATCCAGTTTTCATCATTTTTAATTTTACCAGGATTTAAAAGAAAGTTGGTGTCGAAACAGAAAAACGAAACCATCCTCAGCTCTGACTGAAGCGTATCTCATCTGAGGACTTTGAGCTTTGAGAGGAACACGGCTGATAAGAAACAAGGTAACGTTTTCTTTTCATGAAGTCTTTTTTCTCTTGCTGGAGTACGATTGCACGAGATATCGCAAAGACCCAACCGATCCAGGTAATGTGAGGGTTTTATGTTGAGAAGCACATTCAGATCATTTTAGGCCAAACTTATGCAGATCAGTTGAACCTGACCAGTTTTCTTCGTGTCTGATGGAGCAGTCAGGTCTCCAGGATGGGTCACCAGCCAGAGAAGTCGTCTCTAAACCTGCAGACTGGGACTGCTGTGGTTTTTCAGATTCTTCTCCTGATCCACACCTGCACAGGTAAGGTTAGCATGAGCTAAAGGCTAAAAATAAATATGCATGATTGGGGGCAGACTAAAACATGATCCTTGGTTGTCCGATCCCTGCGATCTAAAAAAGCTGATTTTCATTCCAGGTCGCTCAGAAGACCTGGATCCATCTCAGTCGATAAGAGCGATGGTTGGAGATGACATCACGTTACCGTGCTCACTGAAACCTCCTAAAGATGCGTCTCAGACGACGGTGGAGTGGGGGAGATTTGATCTGATGCCCAGATTTGTGCATGTGTGGTATGAGGGTCAGGAACTTCTGGTGGACCAAAACAGGGCCTACAAAGGACGAGCTTCAGTGTCGGCTGGCCAACTGAAACATGGAGACGCTTCACTGAGACTCTCGGATGTGAGACTGAGTGACAGTGGGAGATACAGATGCTACGTCCCAAAGGCTCAAACAGAAAACTATGTTGATCTTCTTGTTGGTGAGAAAACTGTATTTTTATTCTGATATTTTATCAGGATTTCTTCTGTTTTTTGGCAAACTGAAAAAGCTAATTGCTAGCCTGTTATTAGCCATCAGCACAGACAATCTCTAACAACTATTAACCAGTTGAAGTGCCTTCCTTGGGCACCTACTCGCTCCACACAACGGTGGTATCTGGCCAGCGGAGGGCTGCAGGGTGCTGTCTAGTGATGGGATTTATGGCTCTTTCATGGGAGCCGTTCATTAGTCGGTCGTTGACCTCAAAGAGCCGTTCAAAAGACTGGCTCCTTTGAATGAAGTGAAGCCAAGAGAGGGGCGGTGGTGGGATATTAAGAGCAACGTGTTCCTGTGGTCTGCATGAGGGCGCACGGAGTTGGTTAGGGTTCCTCCTACGTCCGTCAGAGCGGTGAGTGGGTTTGAGCGGGTGCGATTTACCGACTTCCGGGGAGGTTTGTTGCCGGAAGACAAGATGAATGTCTCTCTACAGGGACTCGGCTCTCATCTTTCAGTTTGAAAACCCGCTCAAAAGATTTGATTCGTTCGTGAACGTCACATCACTAGTGCTGTCCTATGTGAAGTTGTTAAAGTTTCTACCGACTCAATCACTGAACCCTTCCTTAATGAGAATGTAAAAACTGCTTAGTGTCACTTTAAAGGTGTTGTGGAGGATATTTCTGAATTTTAGGAGAAAACCGGCATCTCCAGATTTAGAAAAAATGTGCATGAGAAAGAATGCTTAGTTATCCTCGTGCACGCTCTGTTCACAAGTAGTTGCCAGTCTTGCAGCACTTCTTCTAGCAGTAATCTGAAATCAGTTTCTCTAAATAGCATGCAGAACTTAAGCTTACCCATCGAGCAGAAAACCGGCGACAGAGGCGTCTGCGAGGAGCCAAACCTTCGCTTTCAGCGCACGCCATCGTTGAGAAGAATCTCCTAAAAAACTCGGGTCTTATTTTTCACCTCGGAGGATTTTATTTTCTTATCGTAAACTTCGAAGACTCTTTCTCTCTTGCAACCCTCAGCCATTTTTAAAAGGACTGTGGGGTATTTTTATATCCTAAAATGAACCACACAGGGAGAAATCAGTAAAGTTATGTACGCTGCATGCAGCGGAGAGAGACCGATCAAAAGCCTGTCAGGCATTCATCATGAAACTGGCTTCCTCTGCACGTCAGCTGGTTTTATTGAAACGAAGGGAAAAAAGAACAAGGCCCTATTCGTCATAGCCTACGCTAACCAATAACAACGTTGCTTCTGGGCTAAAGCGAACCAATAACAGCTTTACTTCTACGTAAGGCGGGACCTTCTGAAAAGGAAGTCTCAAGTTACAGGAGTGGCTGCTAGGAGCCAAAAACTGCTGAGTCACTCAGCCTGAAGGATTGTTTCCCTGTTAAGCTGGGCGGACACTGTGCGACTTTTTCACTCGTAGCACTCAGCTTCAGCTCAAACTGTACGACTTCCTCGCAGAGCAGATCTCACGAGTCATGTGCTCACACTATATGACCCAGTTCTCGGATGCGACCTGACTGCTCACACTGTACGTCTGGTAGCAACACGTCGGACCTAAATAATATGCTAAAAATAGCAGTTTTTACTCAACACGTCAGAATTTTTTGTCTTGCCTGTTGTCCTTCGGGAGTGCTGCAGGAGGACACATAGGGATTTATGGGGGTTAGATGAGGAAAACAAAATAAAGAAAGTAAATCTGTGTTTTGTGATCTGTTTAATTTGACATGAACACGACAAACGCTTTCTTGACAATTTTTGTGAGTAAAAAAGCGTGTAGAAATAAAAACGAACAACGTGTGTTACTAGGGAAATAGCGAGTGAGTGGAATTGATGCATGATTGCGCATGCGTCGTGAGCGGTTCTGGTACTTTTTGGGTCGAAGACGCTCGCTGCGCCGCTTCAACCCTCACGAAGAGCGAGCAAAATATCAAATACTCCAGAAGTCCATGCGAGCTCACGATTGCTGATCGGTAGCTGGTCACGTGGTGTTAATCGCCTCTTGCAACCCCCTGTATACTACACGATGCTCAGCGCAAAACTCGCCCCGATCTTGTGGATTCTCGCACGAGTGGAAAAACGGCTTAAAAAAGTGAAAAAGTCGCACAGTGTACGCCCGGCTTTACTAGGCAGAGAGTTCCCCAACCCCCACAGACAAACATCAGGTTGCATTCCAGAGAAAGGGAGAAGAGGGAAGAACTCTGTGGATTAACATATGATTACTTAAAAAGGAGCATTTAAAAGAGTAATATAATTTTAAAAAATACCATCAAAGACACAATGAGAAAAGCGAGGAAGGAAGGCTTTCACCGTGGGCGTTACACCCGTGGGGGATGTGGGGGTTGCAACACCCACACTTTTCTTATTGAGATCGTTAAACACCCACACTTTTCCAGACGTTTAGCTCACCTCCACACCAGTCTGGTTTCTCTACCTCGCACTCACTCTGTTTGCCTCATCTTCTTCTCCTCCCTCTCCTGTTTCTCCTTGAAACCGGACATCGGCAGAAACCTTTTAACAACAGTAGATTTTGCATCTTTACTGTTCCGTGCTTCAGCGCCCCACCCCCCCACCCCCCTCCCCCTGCGCAGCGGCCGCAAACTCACTGATGCTCCTGTAGCCTCTCAGAGTTCCTGCTGCTCTAAACATTGAAATAATCATTTCATTTTCTGTTCCTCACTTCTGATTACCTTCAATGGTGTCTGTTTGTTTCAACCACCAGGTAAAAAAGGAGCTTGTTTTTATTTGACTGTTTTTCTGTCCTGTCTCTGTTTTTTATCTTCCTGCATCTCCTCTCAATCCTTAAGAAAAACTGCTACCTGGCTTCATGTATTTTCACCTCACGAGTTACCTTCAACCAAACTCCTCCCATACCCGAGATTTTGCTTCGGCAACTGCCACTGCTTCACCCCGTTTGGCTATCCGGTACCTGTCTGCTGCCTCTGGAGACCCACAGACCAGCAACGCCCTGTAGGCCTCTTTCTTCAGCCTGACGGCTCCCCAAACCTCTGGTGTCCACCAGCGGGTACGGGGGGTTGCCACCATGATTGGAACCGGCCACCTTGCAACCACAGCTAGCAACAGCCGCCTCAACAATCACAGAGTGGAACAAGGCCCACTCAGAGTCAATGTCCCCCACTGCTCTCGGGACACGGTCAAAGCTCTGCCAGAGGTGGGAGTTGAAGACCGTCTTGACAGGTTCTTCTGCCAGGCGTTCCCAGCAGACCCTCACTATGCGTTTGGGTCTGCCAGGTCTACGCGGCATCTTCCCCTGCCATCTGATCCAACTCACCACCAGGTGGTGATCAGTTGACAGCTCCGCTCCTCTCTTCACTCGGGTGTCCAAAACATACGGCCGCAGGTCAGATGATACGACTACAAAGTCTATCATCAACCTGTGTCCTAGGCTGCCCTGGTACCAAGTGTACCGATGGGCATTCTTATGTTCGAACATGGTGTTCGTTATGGCCAATCTGCGGCTTGCACAGAAGTCCAATAACGAAACGCCACTCGAGCTCAGATCAGGTGGGCCGTTCCTCCCAATCACACCCCTCCAGGTCAAGCTGTCATTGCCCACGTGAGCATTGAAGTCCCCCAGCAGGACAATGGAGTCCCCTGATGGAGCATTATCTAGCACTCGTCCCAGGGACTCCAAAAAGGGTGGGTACTCTGAACTGATATTTGGCCCATAAGCACAAACAACAGTCAGGACCCGTTCCCCGACCCGAAGGCGCAGGGAAGCTACCCTTTCATTCCTCGGGGTAAACCCCAACACACAGGCAGAGAGTCTTGGGGCTAACAAAAAGCCAACCCCAGCCCTCCGCCTCTCACCCGGAGTAACTCCAGCAAAGGAAAGTGTCCAACCCCTCTCAAGGACTTGGGTTCCAGAGCCAATGCTATGTGTCAAGGTGAGTCCAACTAAATATAGCCGGTACCGCTCAACCTCTGCCTGTCATGTTATGTGGTAGATGCCTAACCCACGACATACAGAATCAGTCCACAGAGTCAGAGAAGATTGCAAACAATAATTTATTAGTAAAAGGAGAACAGAAGGAGCTGCTAGGAAGTCTAGCAGTATTCGGCAGAGAAGCGAGGTTCGGGTGTGGAGAGTCTTGAGGAACAGGGAGAGTTAGGTCTGGCACTCGGAAATCTGAATGTTGGATCTGATGGAACTTACGGGTTGGAGGTGAGACCTCGTGAGAGAGGGAGGAGTGACCGGTCTGGGGAGGGCAGGAGGCTTCCTGGAGGCAGATGAGCTTAGAGTCCAAATGAGGAGGGAGCTGAGCATGAAGGGTAATGATGATCCAGGAGGGAGGGTGGGCAGCCTGGAGTGAGAAGACCAGAGGAGGACACTAAGAGACGAGTGGACAGTGAAAAAACCAGGTTGGTAGCAGCAATGAGGTGAACTGATAGGAGATATCTGCAGGAGGCAAAACATGCAGTCAAAAACACAGAGAGCTCAAAAATCCATAATCCAGAAATTTTCAAGATCAAATGTTAGGTTGAGTTTGGCTGTTAGAAGAAATACCCAAGCCAAGTTAATCATCCAGCAAAGTGAAGGCGTCTCTCAGGAGCTTAAATATCCCTGGCCAGCTAATCAGCAGATTACCTGCAGCCTCCCCACTTCCAGGCACGCCCACCTGCAGAGGAGAGATGAGACTCAACACCAATTAGAGTGTGAAAAAAACCCAGACCGTGACACTGCCAAAATCTCCTGCTCCTTCCCCACCAGCGAGGTAACTTTCCATGTCACAAAAACCACTTTTGTTGTCCAGGGATTGGACCGCCAAGGCTCCCGCCTTGGTCTGCCACCCGATCCACACTGCACCGGACCCTTGATGTTCCTCCTGCGGGTGGTGGGTCCACAGTTGGATGAGCCCATGTATCCGGTTCGGGCTGGGCCCGGCCGGGCCCCATGGGCGAAAGCCCGGCCACCAGGCGCTCGCTCACGGGCCCCAACCCCTGGCCTGACTCCAGGGTGGGGCCCCGGTAACCCTCCGGGTTTGGTACTCTGACTCTTTGATTGCACATTTATGAAAGATCCTCTGAACCGTTCTTTGTCTCACCCTTCACCTAAGACCAATTTGTCATGGGAGATCCTACCAGGGGCACAAAGTGCCCCAGACAACATAGCTCCTAGGATCATTAGGGCACTCAAACTCCTCCACCACGATAAGGTGACGGTTCAAGGAGGAAGGCCATGGAGAAAGACTATCGATCGGCTCCAAAGAGGTTCTAGCAAACTGTCCTGTGCCTCAGGAGAGGAAGGCAGCAACTCGCTCACGCTGTTTAAAGTGGGGATGGGGAGCTGCTGATGTGAACTGGGGCTATAGTCGGACGGTGGAAGGAATACTTTGAGGAGCTCCTCAATCCCACCTACGTGCATTCCGAGGAGGAACCAGAGCCGGGAGACCTGAGGATGGACTGTCCAATCTCAGGGGCAGAAGATGCTGAGGTATTCAACCAACTACACAGTGGCGGAGCCCCGGGGGCGGATGAGATTCATCCTGGGTATCTCAAGGCTATGGATGTTGTAGGGCTGTCATGGTTGACATGTCTCTGCAACATTGCGTGGTCATCGGGGGCAGTTCCTGTGTAGTGGCAGACCGGGGTGGTGGTCCCCATTGTTAAGAAGGGTGACCTGAGGGTGTGCTCCAAATATAGGGGATCACACTCCTCAGCCTCCCTGGAAAGGTCTACGGCAAGGTACTGGAGAGGAGAGTCCGATCGATAGTTGAATCTCAGATTGAGGAGGAGCAATGCGGTTTTCGTCCTGGCCGTGGAACTGTGGACGAGCTCTATACCCTTGCAAGGGTGATGGAGGAGGCATGGAAGTTTTCCCAACCAATCCACATGTGTTTTGTGGATTTGGAGAAGGCTTATGACCGTGTCCCCAGGGGCACACTGTGGGGGACGCTCCAGGAGTATGGGGTGGGTGGCTTTCTGTTAAGGGCCATTCAGTCCCTTTACCAGAGGAGCGTGAGTTTGGTCCGCATAGCTGGTAGTAAGTCGGACCTGCTCGCGGTGAGGGTTAGACTCCGCCAGGGCTGCCTTTTGTCACCGGTTCTGTTCATTACCTTTATGGACAGAATTTCTAGGTGCAGCCATGGTGTGGAGTGTGTCGAGTTTGGTGGCAGGAGAATCTTGTCTCTGCTTTTTGAGGATGATGTGGTCCTCCTAGCTTCATCCAGCTCTGACCTTCAGCTCTTGCTGGGTAGGTTTGCGGCTGGGATGAGGATCAGCACCTCCAAATCTGAGACCATGGTTCTCGACTGGAAAAGGGTGGCTTACCAACTCCAGGTCGGGAGAGAGGTCCTACCTCAAGTGGAGGAGTTTAAGTATCTTGGGGTCTTGTTCACGAGTGAAGGTAGGACGGATCGGGAGATCGACAGGAGGATTGGTTCTGCAGACGCTGAGCCGATCTGTCGTGGTGAAGAGGGAGCTGAGCCAGAAAGCCAGGCTCTCGATTTACCGGTCGATCTATGTCCCAATCCTACCTATGGCCATAAGCTTTGGGTAATGACCGAAAGAACGAGATTGCGGATACAAGCGGCCGAAATGAGTTTCCTCCATAGGGTGGCCGGGCTCAGCCTTAGTGATAGGGTGAGGAGCTCGGACATTCGGGAGGGACTCGGAGTAGAATCGCTGCTCCTCCAGATCGAAAGGAGTCAGTTGAGGTGGTTTGGGCATCTGGTCAGGATGCCTCATGGACGCCTCCCTTGGGAGGCTTTTCTGGCGTGTCCTGCCGTCAGAAGGCCCCCGGGTCGACCCAGGACATGTTGGAGAGGTTATATCTCCAATCTGGTCCGGGAACGCCTTGGGGTCCTGCCGGAGGAGCTGGTGGAGTTGGCCGGGGAGAGGACGGCCTGGAGCGCCCTAGTTGGGATGCTGCCCACGCGACCCGGACCCGGATAAGCGGAGGAAGACGACAAAGATGACAAGTTACCTTTTGAACTGCAGTTCAAGAAGATCTACCGACCGCAAATATAGCGGAGTGCATGCTGACAGTACTGGTGCGGTCACCGGAGGACGAAACAGGTGATGCTCTCTGCACCGCAGCAGCGAAACGCATCAGGCACAAATAAAAGACAGAAAGCATGAAAGGATATCAGCCAACATAAACAATCGCGTGTTAAGTTTGTTTTTGAGGTGGCGACACTTTGATAATGTTACTTTGGCCGTTCTCAGGACGCATCGGTCAGGAGCGCGTCAACGATCAGAGCTCTGCGCCTGTCAGCTCTAATAATCCCTGGAGAGCCCACATAGATGATGTAATATCAGTAGAACCAGGATCGTTTCGGGCTCCCACTGGGTGTGTTGATGGCTTCAAGGAGCTCCATAGCTCATCCGTAATTCGAATCCTGCGTGTAGCACAAGTTTGTCGCGTGAGTTGACGGATCTTATCAGACAGTTGCCGGAACGGTCGTTTCAAAATACAATAGTTCCCGCATCTTGTTCTGGCAAGATCCGGCTCAAATTAAGCACTGATTGGTGAATATTAAGCATGTTTACGGAAGGACTTTGTTACTGTGAATCATGCGCGGACCCGTTACTGGATTGAGTTTCAGTTGACAGCTGATGACATCCACAGACAACATCTCCACACTTTTGAAAAGCTTGCAACACGCCTGGCTTTCATGTGTCACAAATTGTGACAAATTGCGACACTGATGACAGTTATGTAGGTCAAACGTCCTGATGAAACACCTGGAAAAAAAGATCCTCCGCTTTACCTTTAACATCTCATTTTATTGTAAATAACATGACCTCTACCGGTTTGGAGTTGGCAAGAAAACAAGAAGAGACAAATGGGATGATCAGAGAATTAATGACTAAATTAAGGGAGAATCAAGCTAGCAGAACAATGCTAATGGTAACGAAGTGGATAAAAGGAATGAAGGCTGTTTATTTAATGTTCTTTAATATTTGACCAAATATAGATCTAAAAATGTACAGATGAATGTCTGGAGTTGGCTTCTTCTCCATGCTTGTGTGCGTCTTTGGTTTTCTCCCCAAAACATACATGTTAGGTTAAAGCATCTCCGATTTTAATGACAACATGTTGCCATATTTAAAAAAGAGAGAATGTGCAGGAATCTCTAAAGACAGCATTTGTTTCAACTCAGAAAATTGTTTCCATGAATCTTTAAAATGAGGTGTCTCTGCTGCAGGTCAGACACTGACTAACTCCTCCACCTCTTATCTCACCAGGGTCGGTGTCCTCACCTGAGATCAGGTTAGCAGGACTTGATGAAGGCAGCAGTGGAGTGATGTTGGACTGTAGCTCTGGAACCTGGTGGCCAGAACCAGAGCTGCTCTGGTTGGACGCTGAGGGACACGTCCTCTCAGCTGGACCTACAGAGACAACCAGAGGTTCTGATGGTCTTCTTGCTGTCAGCAGCAGAGTTACTGTGCAGAAAAGCCCCAACAACACCATTACCTGTAGAATCCATCAGAAGGACCTCAAGCAGAGCAGAGAAACCCACGTCCATGTTCCAGGTAGAAGACCCGGACATGAAGTCTCCAACAGGTCACTTATGGAGACAAATAATACATTTATTCTTGTTTGTGCTTCAGATGATTTCTTTGTGGTCCGGTCCAGCTGTTCTGTTTGTATCAGCTTCTCTGTGCTGTTCTGCTGCTTGTTCCTGGTTTCAACTTCTGTTCTGGTCTGGAGACAAAGACACCTCTGTGAGTTCAACTTGTTTCATCTGATCTTCTAAAATGATTTTATGTTACATTATTCATGATGAAGAAGTTCTTCTGTTATTTATGTTGGTTTAATTTTTACTTCACATATATAGATTCTTACACTTTGTCAACTTTTAGTTTCTGCAGCAAAGAAAAAAGAAACAACAAAAACAACTGAAGAGCAAACAGAGCTGATGGGAGTGGAGCAGAAACTAGATGATGCCCTTAAAGCACAAATGAGTGAAGATCTGAGGGAGCTGGAGAACAAACTTTCAATCCAAATGATGGCGGAACAGAATGATGCTGATGAGTTTAACAAGAAGATTAAAGACTTTCAAGAAGAAACAGAAAAAGAAACAGAAACAAAACAAAACAAGAATAAAAAGATAAAAACTGGATCAAACATAACACTGAAGGAAATAGTGTTGGAGCACAATGCTAAACTAGATGAAAGAAAGAAAAGTTATCAAGCGATACAGTTACACCTTCAAAAAATGATCTTTGGAAAAACAGAAAATCAAAATCAGGTTGAGTGCAAAGAAGAAAAGAGAGAAAATAAACAAGAGGAGATGAAAAAATAACGAATTCCAACTGGGAAGAAAAATAAAAAAATTCTCCAATTTTACTTGTTTTGTCAAATGAGTATCTCTCTTTTTATAAAGGTAATTATTATTATTATTATTATTATTATTATTATTATTATTATTATTATTATTATTATAGTTTATTTTCATCAAGTTTTAAAATCCTATCTGCGCCCCTGCATCCCCCCACATGGGAGCAACTCCAGAAAGGATCCAGATTGAAAGGTTCAGCCCCTCTCAAGGAAACTGGTTCCGGAGCCAGAGCCATTCGTTGAATCTGACTATTTCTAGTCGGAACCTCTCAACGTCACACACAAACTCAGGCTCCTTCCCCGCCAGAGGTGTGACATTCCATGTGCCAAGAGCCAGCTTCTGTAGCCAAGGATCAGACCGCCCAGGCCCCCGACCTCGACTACCACCATCACAAACTGCACCCGACCCCTTTGGCCCCTTCCATGAGTGGTGAGCCCATGGGAAGGGGGACCCACGTTTCCTCTTCGGGCTGTACCCGGCCGAGCTCCATGGGATAAAGCCCAGCCACCAGGCGCTCGCCAACGTGTCCCACCTCCAGGCCTGGCTCCAGAGGGGGGCCCCGGTGACCCATGTCTGGGCGAGGGAACACTGTTTCCATTTATATTATTCATCATAAGAGGTCTTTGGGATGTGACTCAAAATTACATTATATATATATATATACATATACATATACATATACATATATATATGTATATATATATATATATATATATATATATAATGTATGCGCATGCCTGCGTGTATATATACACTATATATATATATATATATATATATATATATATATATATATATATATATATATATATATATATATGTGTGTGTATATATGTGTGTGTGTGTGTGTATGTGTGTGTGTGTGTGTGTGTGTGTGTGTGTGTGTTGTAATGAGTGTTAATTACAATTAATTAGGGACCACAAGACATTAAAACTTCATATCTAGTATGAAATCCATCTTGCGGAACACTTGTTTATTTAAAGAGCAAGTCACCCCCAAATCAACTTTTTTTTCTGATAAACTATATAAATGTGTGTCTAATCATGCAGCAGACACGTGTAGTTAATAGTTTTGTACTTTAGTGCGTTTTAGTTGAAATTGTAATTTTCTGCCTAACACTGTCAGTGTTGTGCCGTTGTCAGGTAAAAACTCTGCACTGCATTAGAATTTAAATCTGCCACCCCTATTGGCTAAGAGGTATGTTATGATGTAAATGGGTCCTTATGATGTCACAATGCTGTTGTGAGCCTGTGTGTGTGTGTATTTGTTAGCGGCTCCGCCCTCTCGGTCTGCTAGGCAAAAGCATTTGTTGCATTTTTCAAACATGAAGAGGGAGTGAAGTAAGTTTCTTGTAGGGGGTGACTTGCTCTTTAATCAGAAGATTGGATCTTTTTAAGGCAGGGATTTCGATGACACCTTGTAATAACTGAGAGACAAGAGAAGAGAGAAAGATTTTCAAACGTTTAAGATGGTTTATTATCAAATAATTTTAAACAGTTTAAAGAAGACTAACTCTAATGATGGATGTTCTGTTTGAATGAGGTGTGAGATGGATGGTGTGTGTGAACGAGTGTTATTATCAGAACCCTCGTATCAGGAGAAACAAAGTCTGAGTGGGATGATGTTTTGCTCCTAACTTATCAGAGTAGCTTCTGTAACGTGAGGAAATATGGGTTTTCTGTGCCAAAGGTTTCATTTGACTCGGCTGGATCATAGCTGGGTCGCTGAGAACTTTCACCCACAGATTAAGGCCTAGTCCACACGTAGCCGGGGTTTTTTGAAAACGAATATCCGCCCCTCCAAAAACTTGCATCCACACCACCGCGTTTTAAAAACAAACTCTGTCCACACGTACCCGGATAAATACGTTGTTAAGGACATGCCAGACCTGTAGGCGGCAGTACTTCCCCCGTTCTTAACCTCGTCCTTCGTCTGTGGTCTTCCGCTAGGAGCAGTAACTCCGCTTGCAAAAACAAACAAGCAGAAAGCGCTTGGACAGTTGATGGATCGGGTAGTGACAGAGCGCAGCTCTGAGGGCTTCCATGATGCCGGCTAATGTAAACACAGGTCGCACACGTGATGTCAGCATTTTTTGTCGCGGAAAGTGACGTTGCGGACCTTAAAACTCCGGTTTTGTCCATCCACACGCAGACACCCAAAACGGAGAAAACGCAGATCTTCACTTTGGCCGGAGCTTTTAAAAATATCCGTTTTCGTGTGAAAAAACTCTATTTTCGTGTGGATGACAGGCCAAAACGTAGAAAAATATCTACGTTTTGGCAGATCCCCGGCTACGTGTGGACAGGGCCTAAGACCTGAACGCCAGCGAGTCTGGGAGAAACCATAACATCTGAACACCTGCAGTGCCAGAAGATGTTGTTCTCATGGAAAAGCTAGCCATAACATAACAAAGTCTTAAACTTCCTTTCCTTTATTTTAAATGTTAAATAATCATTTGATCACTTTGCTCATTATAAATGTGTTTTAATCAAATGAATGATTATTATGCTTTGGTTAATCATAATCACTATAATGAGGCAATGCTTAATTAAGAAATGTTTTGAGGATGTTTGGTAACGACCTTCACACACTCAAACACTCACTCAAACACTCACACACACACAAACTCTCACAGTAAACTCCAAAACGCATTTGCTCTGACGCACACGTTTGCTTTGAGAAGAGAACTGGGTTTGGTAAGTTTCAGTTCATGATTCAGTTCGTTGTTTGACAACGAAAGAGGGAGGACTTGTGAACAACGCCAACGGGGAATGGGGCTGCGGCTCCGTTCCCCCCCCCCCCCCCCCCCACGCTATTCCTGCCAAGCCAGACAGGAATAGCTGAATTGCAACCGCTAACGCAGACTCGTCCAGAGTCTTTGATTTTCTGAGTAATTTAAACTTAAGAAAGCGCATCTGCAAACGCTTCATCATCACGTGTACCGAGGTCATCTCTGGACCGGAGCGTCGGACACCTTCGTCTTCTCTGCCAGCCAAGGTGCCCTGGATGAAACATCGTCCTTTGACGTCCCGGGTCTAAAAGAGGGTCCGAATACGGTGAGGCAGTCCACGACAGATTGCGTTTGATGCATCTTTTCCAACGAAACCTAAGTTTATTCAAACCATCACTTTTCACTCAGACACCTGTTTCTTCCTGAAGCAAAATCAGACGCACACATGCATTCATCTCACCTTATTCTCAATTATCATACATTCAACACAAGGTCTATTTGAGCAAGTTTAAAATATCAACTGTTAAAGATTGTTCAACAAAGTTGCCAATGTTGATTGTTGTTTCCTATGCTTGTCATTTCAAAATCATTAGTTTAATTTGAAGAATTAAATCTTTTAACTTTCAAACTTTTCTCTTCATTGAACTGAAGCACAGACCCACGGATATTATCGACAGTTTATCGATGAAAACAACCTTTGAGTCTTCTTAAAACTATATAATTTGGTTATTAGTTTATTAAAATTAATATCTCAAATTAATATGTAGAATGGTTCATCTTTCATAAAAGAGCCTAAACCATTACTCTACATAATTGACCAGCCAGCCAGTTTTAATTGGCGAGCTAATCCAGACTTCTATATCTGCGATATTTACGATTTAATCCATCAAGAAGCTAATTTTTGACAAAATTACGCGTTTTCTCTGTGTTTCACTTTGATGTCTTATTTTGAAAAACCGGAAGTTATTCCACACTAAAATCGGTCCTCTAGAGACGTCCGGGGGAAGATATTTCTGTGGAATTTCCGATCTAAATTCCAAACACAACTTAATCACAAATTTGACAGATCCTGTGAGTTTTCCCATCTTCGCCCTTCGGTGAGAGGCTGGGTGAGTTGGGTCTTTCACTATATTCTGTCCACTTTGACGAGACATCGCGTCTCTGAACTCTTCAGGTCGGAAATTTAACTTTCCGCTCTGATTCCGCTGTAACGGGCTTACAGCTAGCCGCTTAACTCAAGTAATTTTCCCTTTGCCTTAAAGTAAAACTAAGTCTCCGAATTCTCGGAAAAACTTTGTCGTGGTGATTTTGACACTGTGTGCGATTATTTGTAAAATCGGAGATAAATTCATCCCCGTTGGATATTGTTCCGTTCGGACTGCGTCTGATCCGCTTTTTATCCTTTTCCGGTGATCCTCGCGGGCAGTAATAATTAGCTTAACTTGCTAGTATTAATCTCGCTATAAGTCGAGTTGTTCACCGTAGAGCGTATCTGCACCCCAGAGTGAGGACGCTAAAGACAGCAAGAAGACCATCAGAACCTCTGGTTGTCTCTGTAGGTCCAGCTGAGAGGACGTGTCCCTCAGCGTCCAACCAGAGCAGCTCTGGTTCTGGCCACCAGGTTCCAGAGCTACAGTCCAACATCACTCCACTGCTGCCTTCATCAAGTCCTGCTAACCTGATCTCAGGTGAGGACACCGACCCTGGTGAGATAAGAGGTGGAGGAGTTAGTCAGTGTCTCACCTGCAGCAGAGACACCTCACTTTACAGAATAAATTCATGGAAACACATTTCTGAGTTGAAATAAATGCTGTCTTTAGAGATTCCTGTACATTCTCTCTTTTTTAAATATGGCAACATGTTGTCATCAAAATTGGTGATTCTTTAAACTCAAAGTTAACCTAACATGTATGTTTTGGGGAGAAAACTAAAGACGCACACAAGCATGGAGAAGAAGCCAACTCCAGACATTCATCTGTACATTTTTATCCATATTTGGTCAAATATCAAAAAACATTAAATAAATATTAAATAAACAGCCTTCAGACTTTCTCAACTTTCTCTTTTATCCACTTCGTTACCATTAGCATTGTTCTACTAGCTTGATTCTCCCTTAATTTAGTCATTAATTCTCTGATTATCCCATTTGTCTCTTCTTGTTTTCTTGCCAACTTCAAACCGGTAGGGGTCATGGTTTTTTGCAATTAAATGAGATGTTAAAGGTAGAGTGGAGGACCTTTTTTTCCCAGGTGTTTCATCGGGACGATTGACCCACATAACTGTCATCAGTGTCACAATTAGTCGCAATTTGAGACACGTGAAAGCCAGGTGTGTTGCAAGCTTTTCAAAAGTGTGGGGATGTTGTCTGTGGATGTCATCAGCTGTCAATTGAAAATCAACCTCAATCCAGTAACGGGTCCGCGCATGATTCACAGTAACAAAGTCCTTCTGAAAACATGCTTGATATTCACCAATCAGGGCTTCATTTGAGCCGGATCTTGCCAGAACAAGATGCGGGAACTATTGTATTTTGAAACAACCATCCGGCAACTGTCTGCTAGGATCCGGCAACTCACGCGACAAACTTGTGCCATACGCAGGATTCGAATTACGGGTGAGCTAGGGAAATCCTTGAAGCCATCAACACACCCAGTGGGAGCCCGAAACGATCCTGGTTCTACTGATATTACATTATCTATGTGGACTCTGCTCAGGGTCTTAAACAATATTCTTTTAGCTACTGACTTTGGTGATTTTGTGGTTCTGGTACAGTTGGATTTGTTTGCTGTCTTTGACACCGTGGATCACAGTCTCCTGATTTCACGGTTTCAAGAGTCTGTTGGGATTAAAGGAGTTGCTTTGGACTGGTTTAAGTCCTATTTGGCTGAGAGGTCGTTTAGTGTTTCGTTAGGTGGCTTCACGTCATCTCCCTCGCCTCTAGTTTGCAGGGTTCCACAAGGATCCGTGCTGGGCCCGTTGTTGTTCTCTCTGTATTTGCTACCTCTGGGTTCTATTTTTACAAAACATGGATGTTCTTTTCATCTATATGCAGACGACACCCAGGTTTATATTCCCATTCCCATTCCCAAACGTGGCCTACCCAATTATTTAGATCCTCTTCTAAACTGCCTCGATGAGATTAAAACCTGGATGTCTGCAAATTTTTTACATTTTAATAATGACAAGACTGAGGTCATGCTTTTTAGTCCTAGTTTGTCCAGTGGGCCAAGTTCTGCTGACCTTGGTCCACTAGCCCTATTTTTGAAACCTGTAGCGACCAGTCTGGGAGTCCGGCTTGACAGTGATCTGCTTCTGGAAAAGCAAATCAGTGCTGTTACCAAAACCAGTTTTTATCAGTTAAGGAGGATCGCCAAGGTTAAGCATCTGCTCTCAAGTCATGACTTTGAGATGGTGATTCACACATTTATTACATCACGCCTTGACTATTGCAACGCGCTGTACCTTGGTCTTCCTCAGTCTCACCTCTCCCGTCTTCAAATGGTGCAAAATGCAGCAGCACGCCTATTGACGGGTTCGAGAAAGAGGGAGCACATTACCCCAATTTTAGCTTCGCTGCCTGTGGATTTTAGGGTCCAGTACAAGGTTCTTTTATTGGCTTTTAAAGTTGTACATGGCCTTGCTCCGCAGTATCTTTGTGAACTTTTAGTTACTCACTCCCCGTCTAGGTCACTGAGATCAGCCGACCAGTTTCTCCTGGAGGTGCCGAGAACAAAGAAAGCTCAGGGGTGATAGAGCTTTCTCAGTAGCAGCTCCAAGGTTCAGATTCAATCCAGATTAGGATGGTTTCGTCACTGTCGGGTTTTAAATCACTTTTAAAGACTCATCTTTTCTCAGTTGCTTTTAATTCAGTTTGAGAATGCATCTGTTTTAGTAGTTTTTATGTCAGTTTGATATGTTTGTTTTTATCATGTTTTTACTTTGTGTTGAACTTTTTATCTTATTTTTAGAAATTTTAGGGAACTTTTTTTTTGGGGGGGGGGGGGGGGGGGGGGCTCAAGCAGGGAACAGTAAAGATGCAAAAACTACTGTTGTTAAAAGGTTTCTCCCGATGTCGGGTTTCAAGGAGAAACAGGAGAGGGAGGGGAAGAAGGAGATGAGGCAAACAGAGTGAGTGCGAGGTAGAGAAACCAGACTGGTTTGTAGGTGAGCAAAACGGCTGGAAAAGTGGGGGTGTTGAACAATCTCAATAAGAAAAGTGTGGGTGTTGAAACCCCCACATCCCCCACAAGGTGCGACGCCCATGGTGAAAGCCTTCATTCCTCGCTTTTCTCACTGGGTCCTTGATGTTTTTTTTATTATATTACTCTTTTAAATGCTCCTTTTTAAGTAATCATGTGTTAATCCACAGAGCTCTTCCCTCTTGTAGCATCATCAAGGTTCTCTAATTTGTGGCAAAGGTCACATTTACCCAGCTGGGTCAAACAGTACTTTAAATCCACAAATTAACCAAGGAGTCATGATGTCTGGAAGAACATATTACCTATCTGCTGCTGTTCCGTCCCAGGAGGAGGACACTTCAAGTTCACGATGATAATAATTAGATAATAATATTAATAAAACTCACTGATTTTATTACTGTTTATTATAATCATCATAAATGATCACTTGGTTCAGTATAAAGGTATTTCAATTACATGAAATGAATTATTATGCTTTGGGTATAATAATGATTAATTATGATTATGGTTGATGACAGTAAAAGATCTGTTCAGCAAAAAAGGTCAGTTTCAACTTATCCATTGAAAATATATATCTCTCATATAAGCTCTTTCATATATTATTATAAGCTCTTTTATATGATTAAATATGTATCTCTCACTTTTGCCCCTTATATATTATCATAAATACATTATTATATGCCTTTTCATGGAATCTTGTTATAATATCAAAGACCTCTCTGTGCCTTTTCTGCTCAAGCTGAACAGCTGCATAAGGGAGTGAAAGTGTTCCTTCCTTCATTTCCTCAATACAAGAACAACTGTCTTTGTTAGCAAAGGATGTTGCAGGATGTGTCCTGATCATCTCAAGGTTGCATGTCCTTGGGATGAATTGGTCTTTCATTAACAAGGCTATTAGCTGACGTGCGTCTGCAGGTGCAGATGATGGCAGAATTACGTGTGTGTATGGCAAACTATGTATGTAACATTCCTGTAATCTTCAATAAAAATCAGCCGTTTTCAGCAGAACGGCGAGAGTCTGTCCGAAGCATCTGGCAAGAGCAGGTCGCGGGACTTGCTGCAGAGACTCTCCCCCTCATGAGCGGCGAAACAGTGAATGGACTTCTGATCATTTGTCTCCTCGTTCTGCCAACTTAAAAGGTGTTTAACTCCATCTTCTCCGTACCCGTGCTTGGTCTAACAGAAGAAAGACCAACAAATTTGGCGTCACGAACAGGATTTTTTCTTTTTGAAGAAAAAGGAGTTTTTGGAGGACGATTCGACCCACTGACCCAGCGAACGATCTTGGCACAGAACACCGCGGTGGAAAACAAGGTGAGCAGAGCCTATTATCTAAAATCTGCTCATTGGATTTATCCAAAGCATTTGTGTCCAGAATCATAGTAGCTGTGGTCCTAAAATAATAGTTGGAGAAGAAAGTGGAGACAAGTGCAGGAGAATAAGAGATTTTTTTTGTAATGGTTTAATGGTGAAATGAAATGAGGATTTTTCTAATAGTTTAATGAGTAAATGAGATAAGGAAATAGTACAGAAATAGGGGTTGGAGGCCCAGAGCATTAATAAGCTCTAAATTCCATTTAAAGAAGGGTTGGAGGCCCAGGACAAGGTCCTAAATTCCATTTCCAGGTCGTGGCTGACCACACTATTTGCTGACGAGTGAATAGAATATATAACGAGGTTATATAATGCTTGGTTGGAGTCCATAGGTGTGGGAAGCCTAAAATTCTACAGGTCAAGGACCTGGTTCGGGTTAAGGCCCTGGGAGGCTAAAGAGAGCTCCCTAAATTTTAAAGGCACAGGTCGAGGACCTGGTTTGGGTTAAGGCCCTGGGAGGCTAAAGAGAGCTCCCTAAATTCGAAAGGTCAAGGACCTTTGCATGAGATGAGAAAAATGTTCTAAGGTAACTGTTTTTGCATAAAATAAGTAATGTTTAAAATATGACAAGCAGCCCAGTTGAAGCCACGAGAAATGAGGTTTTATTGAGAAAGTCAGCAGAAAAGGCGATGAAGGAAAAGGGGTAGATGTTAACAGTAGAGGTAACTGGAGCAAGATTTGGGAAGTGAAGGCTGCAGAATCAAGAGGAAAAAGGCACAGCTGTAGACAAGCTTCACTGTGTGTGTAAGCTGAGTTCAGCCTGTGTGTGTGAGGCGCAGCAAGAGGCTGCTTACGGCTCTGGATTGAAAGTGCAGCACTAGGAGAGTGCAGAATGCAGAGCAGAGTTTTGGGAGCTCCGTGTGTGTGTGTGTGTGTACAGCGCTGGGTGTGTGTGTGAAGGCCTGATGCGGTACCAGAAAATAAATAAATAAATAAGATAAATAAGAGCTTTAAAAAGTTGCAACTCGTATATGTAAATTACACTGCAGTGCTAAAATTAATGTTTGGAGCTACGCAAAATTCAAATTCTGCAACCCTGTTCTGATCAGTCTTTGAACAGAACACCATAAGTTAATAAATAAAAGGTTTTTAAAGTAACATGTGTGTATGTATGTGTGTATGTATGTATATGTGTATACATATATATACATATGTAGTGTACAAGCGTGATAATCATTTGTGTGCGGTGCAGCATGTGAGGGACCCCGATCTGGGGGTTAAGTGGCCTGGAGATAAAAAAAAAAATAAAAAAAAACCTAATAAGAAATGCAAGTAAGGTTGTATATGACAGCTTTATTTCAGAAATATATGGATATACATATACATAAAGTCAGGTAGCTGCTAAATAGTCAAATCAAAACAGATCTGCAGAAAATAAATATATAAACTATTCCTCAGAGCGCTCTCAAAAAATTGCAATTGGATTTGCTCTAATGTTACATAAGGCCTGCTTAAAAGCATAGTAAGCATTAAATTCTGAAAATAACCAGTGCAGTGTTAAATAAATTCTGTGCTTAAAATATTATATATATATAGAGAGAGAGAGAGAATAAATAAGTGACGAACTGACTTACTTTAAAAAAAAAAAAAAAAGACTGTGACAAACAAAGAATGTCTCTGTGCCTTGTGAATGAGTGGATGCGTGTCTTCTTGCATGAGCTGCTTTCGCTGGATCTTCTGAATGACTCAGTTTTTAATAGAGGGAGCAGCTGCTTGAGAAACAGGGTGCGGTCCATGTTTTTGCTAGACGGTTATTTAGTTCAAGAGACTGTGGAAACAATAGAAAAAGAATTTATCGTTAGTGTGAGGACAAGAAAATCCCTTAAAATACAAAAGTTGTATGGTCGTGGTTATAAAGGAAGTATTTTGTCTGATTATGGGCCGTGGAGTCAGCTGGACTCCCTCGCTCTCACAGTTTTTCTGTGTAACATGCAGTTTTAAGCAATTTGTGACTTTAGAAAGGATATTTTTCGGTGTTTTGGACGTACCTTAAGGCTTCTGGTTAGGGTATTCAGGAGATCCTTCCTCTCGGACAGATCTAGTGAGAATGACTGGAGTTTCAGCCTGGGGACCTGACTCCACCCACTTTTACACACAAGAGTCCCGTGGTCTAAAAATAGCACAGGGTGCTGCGAAAAGCAGCTCTGAACCTCTCAGGATCATCTTTATGAAAACCATAAAATTAACAAATAATCAGTCAGGAAATAAAATATTTGTTAAATCTTGCTATAAAACAAAATCCAATAATTGTCTTGCCTCAACTTTAAGAACCATTAACGTTAATGGCTGGATTTTGAGATGCTGAATAATGAAAAAACAGATAAACTAAGTATTATTTCCTGTAACCTGGCTAGAAACTGTACTAGGCTGTTTTGAGTTAAAAACTGGTAGTTATTTTCCCAAAATAAAATAGATAAACAAAAAATGAAAGGAGGGATCTTGCATTTGGGATAGATTGTGCCTAAAGTTTAAAACCTGTGTAGAACTGATTTGACGATTCAGAAAAATTGTGCATAAAGTAGTCTAGATTTACCTTTGAGTCAATAAAGTCGACTAAATATTAGAAACCATCGTTGATTTTGATTTGTAAAAGAGAAAGTTCTGTCATTTTAACTCAATCAACATATTTAAGGAAAACGTTTGCTGTGCATTGTGGCAGGCATGAACTTTACTGGGTGGGCCTGTCACAACCAGCTGCAAAGAATGTTTGGCTCTGACTTCTATACAAAGAGAACCTGGAAGCCCTCACCAAAGAGAACCTGGAAGCCCTCACCAAAAGCTGTGACTCATAACATAAAGACGGGGAGCACTACAAGATGGACAAAGAGGCAGAAACTTATTTGCCCTGCTGCTGATGAAACAAAGTACAAAAGGGGGAGCATGTGTGCTAACA